CAAGCAACCGCAGCCAAATACCAGGAAATCCTAGCCCCAGTGAACTCAGTGGTTATACTACTCTTGAGGCCAGGTTTAGGCAGCTCCTAACACTGAAGGCAAATTTCACCATAAGCAAGAAAGAAAATGAAAAAATAAAATGGTTTTAGTAAGCTAGAAATAACTTAGTTACTACATCTGTGTTTAAAGGGTACTTGCAAGCAACATGTTATGGCCCAGATGCCGGCTCCTTCAGCCTACATTTTGGGCTCCCAGAACTGGCTCCAGCTCCAACCCAGGCACCAAGGCAGTGAACAAGTACGATGTCAAACCTGAGCTAAGAGTCCTTTCCTCTCAGCTTATCAGCTCCTGCACTGGGGAGACTGGATGCAGTGCAGAGCACGAGCTCGTGCCTGCTTACACTGGGGAAAATCTGCTCTGACCTGCCCGCGACAGGACGAGTGCAACGGCAAAGATGAGCAGCTCCCAAAAGAAGGCTCTGTGGCCCCAAAGACCAAACTTGAGGTTTGGAGGGGAAGGGGGACTGCTTTGTGGCTTGGGTTTTTTTTTTTTTTAATGTCTCAACTCAATAATAATTCTGGAGAGTTTTCATATATCAATAATCAGCCCTACAGATGCCACTGAGCCTTAGAAGTTACGCAAAGAACACACTCTGGGAGAGTAGGCTATCTCCATCAGTGTATACATCTCTCCTACTAAGAAACTGGCATCTTTTTGGTTAATAAACTGGGGAAGATCAGCATTAACAAGACCAAAATCATTCAGTTATCACGGTTAAAAAAGGTCAACACTTCTAAACATTTTTGAATCACTGTGAACAATTATGACTGCTGACATAGTTACAAAGTCTAAAATTTCAACCAAAAAATGTAACCCTATTCCACTAATAATGATTTTAAGTGGAAGGATCTGTGACTTCCAAAAAGTTTTGAGATTACATAAATGGTATTTTAAAAGAATTTGTCCACAAAACCAGAGTACATTTCAGTAGCCATAGGAACAACAGCATAGTGCTGTGAACCTGAAAGGCAGGCAGTGCTCGTTAAGAGTCCAGGTGATTTTTCTTTTGTTTTTATACTGTTCCCAAATCAGCCTGCAACTAGTAATATTTTATTTCACCCCTAAATTAAAAGTTAACAGTGACTATATACAAAAAAATTCATAATACATTTAATCCTGCTACACAGCGGTCATTTATAAAACGCATGCTAAAACTAGAAATGAGTATTTGAGCTGATATTTTGTGGTTCGTCTTCTAGCTACAATGAAGTAGAAAAGAAAGTTAAATGAACTCAAAGTTGCATTTTCTCCCACACCTTCACCCCCAGCCCAAGGCCTAGCAAAGGCAAAGCATTTCTATGGACGTTTTTAGTGTGCATTTAGCATAAGAGGATTGCCTCTTTCTCCAGATCTGACTTACTTCCTAGCCAGAATAAGATATCAGAAAGAGAAAAAAACAGAAATAAAACCCCCTCTTCCCTGTATAAATACTGTTTTCAAAAAGAGCTCATTCAAATTTTAGTAATGATTTGTTTAAACAGTCAGTGCAATAAACCCTTTGGAGCTAGGGCATTTGTTAGACAGTTAAGTTGTACTTCCAACAGAATTATACATTCTCTTGTTTCCACAAACAGCCACTCTAACAAAGGGCTTAATATCTTTTGTCTTCTTGATTTCATATCACTGCTTAGCTGTTTGCAGACTCTATTCAATTATTAAAATGCATAATTTCAACAGCTATGGCAAAACAGTTAACTATTTAACTGTTTATCAATACAGAAAATTGCACTTTGGAGAGCTGGTCACAGGACACACACACAAACTGCCACCATCAAAAGAGGGCACTTATTTGGAGACTTTAGCAAGATGCGTTAATAAGCGGCACACTGCATTCCTCCTACACACATATATGTACAGGCTCTCTCCAAAGCCTTTCTTTGGGTATGCTGGGCAGATGCTTTGCTATGAATGCGCTGACTCTATCACATCTAACATTCTGCAAACACACAGCTATCCCTGAGGAGGGACCTGCAAGCTGCTGAGATTCCTGCCATCAATCAAGCAAAGTCCTTGCTTTAGCAAAGCGACAGTCCCGTCAGCCGTAGAACTGCGCTCACCAGCTGGGGGTATATAAGAAGAAAACAAAAAAAAACACACCAGGAAAAATGTGAAATAACATATGTGAAATGGACTCATACCTGTTCACAATGGGATAACAGTAAGCAGAACAAGCTGGTGGGCAGACATACTTTAAGAGTTAGCAAAAGGGAATGAAATGGATTAAAACATGTAATAAAAGACTATATGGCTACCCTACATCCATCTACTCTGAAATACCTCAAATCCTGGGAGATAAAGAACAAGAAAAGGCATCACAACGGGACCTCAGGGGCACAGAGATCTGACACACTTCTGAATCTGGGTTATCTTGTGAATCTTAAAATCAGGCTAAGACGTCTGTTAAACCTCAGATGATGCTACCTTGATTCATTCCTCTTTGGAAGACAAGTGAATGACACCTGGCTAACCAGCAGAAGGATCTTGCTTCCCCCTTCACCACAGCCAAACGCTTCTCTGAATTGCAGTAGGAAAGACAAAGAGGCCAGCCCTTACCCTCTGCACTAATGAAAACCAAAGCCTTTACTGTAATACACACGCACAGGAAGACACAGGTCAAGCCCCAGATTTAGGTTTAAAGGCCAGCCTGTTCTCTCTTTCAGCGTTACTGCAGCATTATGAACTGCACCTATGACAAAATGCTACATTGGGTGAGACGCTACCTCTTTGCTTGTGCTGCTTGGTGGAGGATGTGCTGCTGAAACTGAACTCTTGGGAGGCTCCTTTTTCTTCTGCTTGTGGTCATGCTGGAGAGACAGCAGCTGTGTCTGATCTTTGGGGAGAGTTCGATGCATCTTCTTGTTGTGCTGCACGTCTTCCAGCTTTTTCTGAAAGTAAAGAAAAAGTGGTGAACCTCAAAGGAAACAATATCTTGAAGGATAATAGAGTCTGCTGGAAAAACTGGATGTGGTATTTTCAAAAGAACAAAAGTGAGCACATTTTCAGCAGGGGCTGACTGACTATGACTGAATAGCCAGACCGCTGAGCAATAGGAAGCACAAAACGACCCCAAACAGACCGTGTTTGGCTTCTAACGGAAAAGCTTGACAGAACAGTTTGGTGGTTTTTTTTTTTTCAACACAACAGAAAATTGTATTTTTCTCTTTACTTTTCCTAAAAATAGAGATCCTTATCAATCACTCCACACTTTTATCTGATTACAAATCAGTTTGCCTGCTGAAACCTTAGGAAAACATTGTGGCCAAGGTGACTTGACAGTGAGACTTCAGCATTAAAATTAGCCCCCACTTCATTTTCATTTTTGAAAAACAGATTGTCCCAGTTATAACCCAAAGACGCTAGATACTGAAGCTTAAGTTGAGGTGATGCTGGAAGCTTTCAGAATAAAGATATTTTAAACCAAACTGAGGCAACTGAAGACCGACCATCTCAGAGAGGAGGAACAGCAGGGATGAAAGTAGCATGCTCACGGGAGAGGAAAAGACATAGAGGGTGACTCAATATCATGCAAGTAACTCAAAGGAAGGGTGAATGGGAGAACAAGAGGCAGTAAATACATTTTTAAAAGAAGTCCCTCTGGTCTGTGACTCAGAGGATGGGAACGCCCTCAGAGAACAGGGAACGACATCAGCTAGAGGAGCACGGAGCTGTGAACTGCTGTCCATAAACACTCGTTTTGTACCTGCTTCTTTTCTGATTTTTTCTGTGCATCTACCATGCACCATTCATCGTCCACAGCCCTTTTGTCCTCTTTACACCTCTCCTCTTTCCTCTGAACGGCCTTAGCCTCCGGCCACCTCTGCTCGCACTCCTGCTGCCTCCGGAGCTCTTGCTCTCGCCTCTGATGCTGGATAAGGGCCAGGGAATAACATTGTTTATTTTGCTTTACTTCTGTACCCACCAATTCTTTATGCCAGTATTCATTAATCACAAGGTCCATTTCCTGATATGCAATCAGCAACAGGGGATACCTCACACACAGCACAGCAGGAGCAGGCAGTCACAAATTGCCACCTCAATGACTGTCAACTGCCTGATGTAAAACCTTTGCCCTTTTGGCAGTCAAGGCCATTCATTTAAACGGGCATATGAGTCCTCTGTTGCGGCTGGCAGCTAATCTAATGACAAATGCCTTCCTGTTGCTTCGAGAAGGAAGGGTTTTTCCAGAGTCCCCCAGTTCTGCTGAAGCAGCACTATGCTTCACCAATGCCACCTCTGGGGTATTTGCCCATGCTTGAATGTCATCAGATGTTCACGATAAGAGGCATGCTGGTGATTCAGTGATGCCTGCCACACTGCAGGGTGTGAGACAGCTGAGAAGGCAGCTATCTTGTAATATCTTAAAAAGACCCAGGCCCAGGGGTCCTCTGCATCAGGACAGATTCAGAATCGGGCAACGCACACGAGAGAAAAGGGGCTCTCTCATCCCATCGGCCCAGGTTTCCCCTGCAGAGCACGCTCAAATGAAACGCCTTGCGTGTTCTGCTCCCAAAGTTCAGGGCAGGTTGTCATCAGGGAAAGGACAGAGGCCTTTTGATATCATTTAACATCACTGCATTCAGAAGTGACAGAGTTCTCCCAAGGTTAAAGACTGCAATACAGGTTGTGCTGACCGTTTGACACAGCCTTCTTGCCTTCCCAAGCCTACTCTCTACGGGGACACTGTTTTTATTTGTGATGGGATGCGGAATAACAATATAAGCCAGTTCCTACATCCTCCAGCAGCCTCCTCTGCTCTTTCTGCTGCTCGATTCGCTTCTGCCGCTCTGTCAGCAGCTGCTTCTTGTACTTCTCCTGGTCCTTCAGCTGCTGCTGCTGGCGATGAGGGTCAGAACGGTTTTTGTTCTCCTGCTGCAGCCTCAGAAATTCACGACGGAGAGTCGACTCTCCTGGGAGATTAACTATGGAGCTGGAACAAAAGGGAAGTTTCTCTATGACTAAACATAACATTAAAGCAGACAGAGTACAACGCACACTGGGAATTCCTTGCTGTCCTCTGTTAGCAAATTAAAACGTTCTGATAAATCCCCAGTACGTTGGTGATGTATCTGCAGTCCCTGTGCTACAAAACAGCCTGAAGCTGATTATTGGCTCCATCATTTTAGACTTTCCTCCCTATAGCAGAGAAAGCAGTTCATTACCAACATCTTACACTCAGCATTTATACTCAGTAGCTAAAAACAGTTAAAGCAACCAGACGGGATACAGGAGATAAGGGATTGACATAAGTTAAGAAAGCCAGTCTGGCTGAGGAGAGCTGCCTTCAAGGCAAACAGCTTGGCTAGTCAAATTTTATACTCCAGTAATAAAATTAACCTTGGTTCTCCTTCATCTTCATTCAGCTCATCATCTTCCTCCTCACTTCCACTGTAATCATAGTCCGTTTCTTCTAAAAAAAAAAGAGAAAAATATGTAAACCCCAGTGAAGGATGGTGCTATTCAAGGCAGCAGCTTGAACTTTCCTTCTGAGCTACGTGCAGCTCCCAAGGAATTTAAGAGCCACAGGTTGCACTAGGAGGCTAAGGGGATGCAGCGTAACATACCAAGGTAGGTAATTCAAAATCTAGTTCAGATAATGTTTCAGTGGATGGCCCCTTTCTGCACTCCCATCTAAAATCTTTCCCCTTTGACTGGCTACATGGGTTTTATGAATCTAACCCATTTCCATAATCTGAAGTAGGTTAGACTAAACCCACAGAGAAATCCAACCTCCTTAATAACATCAGCAGAGAGGTACCTTCAGAATGAAATCAAGATAGGACATAAGGGACTCATACTGCTCCTCTATGCTATTGTATACCTATCTTGTGGCTAAGCTGAGGCCTTCAGTAAACTCAGATTAAAAACAACACTTTTCAGGCCTGAATATAACTATCTAGCATTAAGTGATCGTTATCACTACACTTTTTCCCCTTACGTGCGTTTGTGAAAAATCTCTAATAAGCTGTCTCTCCATTCGAATGTGCTTTGAGATCCACAGCTGAAAGCAGTCTTGGAATTTACTGCTATTATTTGAGTCAGGAAATCTACATTGCGACAGCAGTTTCATTTTAGATAACAATACTGCAGTTGTCAAATGAATAGTTACAGTTTATATGCCATGTTCCAACTTTTTAGTTATTTCCAAGCATGCCCTCACAGTCAATAACCTTCACAACACCCCTCTGCAGGTGTCACATGTACACAGAAGAGGAGGGGATAAGAGAGGGCAAGGAAAATGACTGGTCAACAGGCTATGGTTCTTTCTCCGCTTTGAAAAGCGATTAATTTGCAGTGTACAGGCATTTCCTCCAGTATCACACACTCCAACATTGCTTCTCCCAGGTTTTGCTCTGAATAATAAGGCTAGTACTTGCAGCAAACTCAGACGCTTTCTTTTTCTTCAGTCATCCTGTAAAACAGACGATTCATTACACCCGTCCGTATTGTGTTGGAACTTGGAGGCCTTCTCACGGACTCTTTCGTGCACTGCACTGCAAAAGGCTTGAAGAGCATTTCTGCCCTCAAAGAATTCACAAGCTAAAATTATATGGAAGTGCAGTAGGTAAATTAAATGGAAAGTGGACAGACGGATAAACTGAGAGAGTAGGAAAGGCTTACTGAACACTGTTTAGACACTCACAAGAGCAAGGGCCTAGGCCTTGCTTAGGCTTCCTGATCACATTAGCATTAGGCTCTTTTCAGTGAAATCAGTGTCAGTCAGGCTCCAAAGACCTTAGCATTTAAACATCGTTAAGGACCTGGACTTTGGCAAAAAGATTTTCAAAACGGCCTCACTGCAGTCAGTGACAAAACTTCCTCACAGTTTTAGTGGTACCAGTATTTCAGTTACTTCCATCTTGTGCTCTGCTCCAAAAAAAGGAAGAGGACCTACAGCGTGCATGCTTTTTATTTTATTTTTGCCACTTTACCCCTTTCTCCTTTTTTCTTCCTGGTCCTATCCAGGTGGTCTTTCAGCATGATGCGCACTTGCCGTTCATTCTGCATGTCTCGGATGAAGGAATGCTTTAGCAAGGTCTCAGTGGATGGACGGTGCAAGTAGTTTTTAACAAGGCAGCTTTCAACAAAGTTAAGGAATTTCTTTGACCTGAAAAAGTTAGAAAAATGGGAGAAAATAACCCCTTTCCACTTGCATGCCAGGCACCACTCCCAAGTGGCCTCAAGCCCCAGATTTGCAAGGCTTCCTTCTGCACTGGAACCGTGTGAACCAAACACGAGTTTACTGTGTGCCACCTTCAACCTCCCAGAGCTGCGGATGAGCAACAGAGAACGCCACAGCAGACTCATTCTGGTGGAGGTACTCTGAATTTGATTACGATCCAGCCAAGATAACAACTCTTTCAAGAAGTACCCTTATCCTTCTAATGTGGCAAAGATTTTCATTATACTTCAAATTTAAAAGAGAAACTGCTTCTCCTTATGCCGCAATGACTACCATTAACCCCCCAACGTCACTAAAGTGTTCTGACAAACCACTGACCCCAGACAGCCCCAGCCAAGCCGTGCCTGTAACTAACTTTCAACCACCCGTGCCAGCCTTTAGTGACTGTGCTGACTGCTGCTGTTTAGCCCGAGTTGAGAAGAACAAGGTTGCTTGCCAAGGGTAAGCTAATGCGCATGAGCAGCTTACCCCAGCACCAGAAAGAGCGTAGGAAAAACTGTGCAGCTCATTGTACAGTTTGACAAGATCATAGCCCCTGGACAACAGAGCTCAAAATCCTCCTAAGCCCAAAGCTGCAAAAACACAGTTTACACATCTTTTATTTATTTTTATTTTTACCATTTTCTGGATTTCAGTTTTGGGGGCGGGTTCCGGGGGATGAGGAAGAGCGCTCGCATGGGATGCATGTCACACAGGGCTGCAAGGGAAACCACAAGCCATTAAAGAGTACATGCCATCCCCACTGTGTTCCTCCCCTCT